TGCAAGGGCATCTTGAATGAGGTTAATGAAAGAGAAATACGAAAAATAGAAGCTTTATTCTGGATACTACTTCTGAGTCACCTTCAATTTCACAGTCTACTCCTATATGTGTATTATTTTTGTATGCACTAACGATAAGATAGAATGGGATTGTTACAGCTTACTGTGAAAACTAGTGGAGATACGAGAAAGACTGCGATGTTTTAGCTTTGCTTTTCAGAATGACTTATTTATTCAGAGTTGGATCTTGTCATGTACTTAACATCCGAGCAAAGTAGTCGAATGCCATATGGGTTTCTTTATGGTAAACGTGTACAGAAACCTTTTTACAAGTGCATCTTTTTACATATTGCAAAACAGACCGAGATGTTTTTAGAATGGGTCTTCTAATGTTTATCAGGCGTCGACTCTCAAAGACCCGAATACTTTTTTTTTGTTGCAGTCATGTGTCTCATTTTGCCAAACCCTAATCTTGAATAAAATGTTCGTAAAGTTATAGCAGGCTGAGAAATTTGAACAGCAACTATAGTCCATGTGCTCTTTTCGATAACCTATTCAGTCCGGAAAGTCAAGAAAGTTTTGTGAATGAAATTGGGCAAGTGAATGAGTGAATTAATCATACCGATCATATGAAAGCCTTTAAAGGACACTGTGCAAACATGATGGTAAGAAGGGCCAAAAAGAAGAGAAAAGTATGCTTGGAGACATTTCAGTCTGTCGTACAACTTATATAATCGTTCACAAAAAGCGATCATAGTATGTCGATCTAATACCTGACAAATTTTGATAATCATGCTTTATGCCCCTCGTGTTTCTGCTTTAACGAAGCTAAAACATGTATTACAATAATATTTACATTCGCGTTTAGTGGATGGAGCTGTCGCAGTGCTATCCGTGTATGCGTCGCAGGCGCAAATTTCAAGAATTTTTGAGCAATTTTAGTTCAAAAATTGTAGTCAAACTGAAGTGCTATCTACATACCTTGCAGACTAACAACCACAATATTCGTGTAGTTGTAACTTGGACTGATAACCCAGTTCTTTTCCACGAAATCTCTGAAATTTGATTGATTGAGCTTGCTCGTTCTGATTTCCTCGCTAGTAAACTTCATTGTAGCAATCATGTGGTACTGCTACTCTGAGTATTGCAAGTTGAAAGTAACTTATTCGAACATCGGTGTATCACTCACGCGCCCCACATGAAAAGCAAGCTATCCACTTTTCCTTGTGGACCAGTTGCAGTGTTTATTGTAGAGAAGCTGTAAAAGATCATGGAGTACACTTGAAAGCATTAGCCATATAAGTCTGATGCTCAACTTACTTTGCACCCAAATCGTTTACAGAAGACCCTCTCTGCATGGCTGTATTAGCTTCACTTTCGAATTTCTCATAGGTATCGCTCATGTTATTGAAGACATTTGTAAAATCGGTTTTTTGAGCTACTGAGCCGTAAACCCAAATTCCAGCAGCCGAACCTTGCCTTTCTTTGAAAAGCGTGTCCGTAACGTTCAGGATTAGACTTTTTTCCTTCAAAAAAGGAAAACAGGTTAATTAAGATTTTGTTTATATACAGTAAGAAAGAAACTTCGCAATTGTTGAGTTGCAAATAAATTGTTTTCCTTAATGTCTTTCAAAATGATGAAACTTTACCTTGTCTACCTCTTTTGCTTTGCTGATGTATTGCAGATCCGCTAGGCAGACGCAATTGATGCTTCTGGGTGCTGAAACCTTGTAGCTATTAGCAAAATCTTCGTACTTCCCCTCATTAACAATGATTGGGGTTGTCAAAGTCTCCAAAGTATGCGCAAGTTGTCGTGTACATCCACAAACTTGTCTATTTGTAATAATGAGCCGTAAGTCCGATACAGTTAACTTTTTTAAATGAATATCTTCCCATGAAAATTGAACTGCAGCTATTATAGGTTTATTCACTCATGTACAGATGTAAGCGAAAGCGGTAGTAATCGCAAGAATTGTTTACTTAAAGGCAGTGTCCAGGCAAATTTGGGCACATGGATTTTTCGCCTGGAAATTGTTGAGGGGGTCTTAGCTAAGGCATTGTCCAAACGGCAGCGCAAATGATTCATTCACGGCTGAGATCTATCTCCAAACGTTCCGTGCCTGCGCCGTGACCGTAACACTTTGGATGTGTCCCAGCGCGAACGTAGTGTTAAAGTGAGCGATGTCGTTTTCGGATTACGGTCACGGCGCAGGCGCGGGGTTTTGGGTGACGGATTTCTCAGCCGTGAATGAACCATTCATGCTGCCGTTTGGGCAGTACCTCAGTTAAGACCCCATCATCAATTTCCAGACGAAAAGCCAATGCGCCCGGATTTGCCTGCACGCTGCCTTTAAGCGTTGTGCGTAAGGTGAGACTTTCGCCTGCCAATTCTGTCTTGCTATTGTATTGGAATTCTAAGCAGACGCAACTTATGCCTTTCGATGCTCAAGTTTTTGACTAACAATAAGATAAATCCGTGAATTACCAGTGAAGGCATCAAAACAAACTAGGTTCGAGAGTGTAACGCCTTTCGGCGTATAGCTTTTGTTGTTGTTATAAAAAGTTATGCTTCACATAAAGACGAGTACTTGCAAAGGTATGAGAAACTTGATATATTTTAGCAATATATCACTGGAGTGGAGGGTGAAGGAAGGAAGCCGCCAAGAATAGTTCTCGAAAATTTCAGAAAACACATAAATCATAAATATCTGCTAGTGATTTGCTTATACATGTAAATGATTAAAATAATTTGTGAGATTCTTGGAAATTCAAATTGGTCTTTTTAAGATTTTTCGTGGGAGGGGTTGAACCCAGGCCAGCGTCCCACAGAGTTCCTTGGAGTGCACGGCTGACTCCAAGCACCTTAGCTTGAAAATCTTTTCTGTCGCACCCCTCTGGAGCAAAATCCTAAGGTTTTTTTGTCGCTTCCTCTCTAAAGGAAAATCCTAGGGCCGCCACTGCTACATATTAGGTCGTTCCAAAAGGGTTTTGCTTTTTTTTACAAGCTCCACATTCCGTAAAACATTTTATAGAAGATTTTGGCAGTATTAGATGCAATTTTTCATGATCTTTCGAACGATCACCTTTATACAGGGTGTTCCAGAAAAATGTGCTTCTGTTTGGTTGTTGATAACTCTGTTGTAATAAAGTGTTTCGAGAACCTTCAGGTAATGTTTTGTAGAGCTGACTTCAACTCAGATTTACGGCGTAGGGCGAATCACCGGTCCTCTTCATTACTGTAAAATTAGCGTAGAAACTTCAAGTATATGGTGTCACACTGTGACAAAACTGTCGTTTCTTCCAAAAAATGTGAAAATTTGTGTATTAGGATTTTCATCGACGCTGAGTTCAATACTCAACTACTTACAAGACTGCGAAGCTTTCTAAACGGTGTAACCCCACTGTTTAAGGAACATCGGAAAAACGGCCGCTACCGAACTTCATATTTAGATTCAGCAACTCTAATTGCCATTGTGAAAGTTTTCAGGCTGCTTTGTTTTCTTTCTAAGGCAAAATGCGGCCTTTCATGGCTCAAAACTTTCTTTGAAGTTTCTACCGTAATCCTACAATAATGAAGAAAAATGGGTAATTTATTCTATGCTGTAAACCTAATTTGAAGTTAGCTCTACAAAACGGTACCTGAAGCTTCTCGAAAGACTTCACTACAAGAGAGTTATTAATCAAACACTAGGCACATTTTTTGGGACACCCTGTATAAAGGTGATCGTTCGAAAGATCATAAAAACTGCATCTAATACTGCTTACTGTATTGCAGTTTAATAAACGAGCTTTCAGAAAATTAAAAAAATGGCATTTTACCAGAGTAAAGTTCCGCTTTTTTTTTTCAAAATTTTTGAACTTTCCCTGAAAGAAATCTGACTAGCATTAGGTAGCGCAAATCCTATAGAACGCAAAACAATTTTGTTCTCCTCCCTATAACCCGCCATAATTTTTTGACAGAAATTACAACATCATCGACTTCTAGCTGATCTGTATAAGATGCAGACCAAACACTAAATACTCTTGGTTTTTTATACTTTCAAAGTAATCATGAATCAGCACTATTTATGCAAAACAGAAGAGCGTTCAGGGAATTAAAATATCAAATCTTGAATTTTCCAAATACAGCTAATGGCGCATTCAAAAAGAAATAAAATTTTTTGATTTCATTACACATCACTGTGCGAATCATAAACAAAGAACATCCCTCTAAAAAAGGGAAAGTGTTGTCAAGTAGCACACGGCTTACTGTGTATAGAGATCAGTTCTGCATACAGTTCAATCAGCGTTGGCAACACCGCACGACCCTTAAGGTTATGTTGTGGCAAGTTTTTTGGGTAGGTAAGTTCCGTTCTCCAATCTACACCAATGAAGAAGGACGGGTGAATTGCTTTATTTTGTGAAGCTAGATTAAATCCTGCTCTACCAAGCGTACACGTGCTGAGCAAAAGAGCGTGGAGAAGAAAGCTGCTGACGATTTCAAAGCGTGTACTTAGTTTTGGGATACTCTGTATATTGTAAAGCTCTAATAGAATGACTAGGCACCTTTACGTTGTTCTAACATAAGAAGATACCGGATTGTGTTGCCCTCAGATCCAGTTTTTACAGCTGAACTTCCGGCTTTTCAAAAACAAGTGATGTGCATTTTGAGCAACTTCCTGAGAGGGTATAAGAGTTGGAGTGCAAACTTGTACAGTTTTAATGGGCAATCTGCTTTGCTTTGTAGCGTGAAGAAGGTTAATTGAGTTGCTGTTTCGTATACTAACATTAAGAAAGAAATACTGAAACAGAAAAGCAAGCAAGTGTTCCACGTTGCTTTACAGACCCATGTCATTGAGTGTTTACCCTTGTACTTGATAGTTCAAAGGTCATAGCCATCCAATTAGCGACTAGTATCTTTCCTTGCTCAATGAAAAACATTCTGTTCCACAAGATGAATTACAGAAATATTTTAGCGATGAAATCTCGTGCTAGATTGACAGAAGTGCTCTGTAACGTACCTGTTGTTGTAGTCGTCGTTGTCGTTGTCGTAGTTGTTGTTGTAGTTGTAGTTGTAGTGGTTGGTGCTTAATCCATCAAATATTTTACCAACCATCAGATATGAACGAGAAAATGTATGTGGGAAACTATATATACAATTTTTATTTGCTCTCGTCAATAACTTTCATGCCGCAGTGTATTTGGTGCACCACACTGCTTTTTGGAGCTGGCATCAATCTGATTTACATCAAGTACCATCAAACGCTCCTGGTCACTTTGAAATTGACTGAGCTTTTGGCGCAAAACAATAACGTTATTGCAATCAGCAGCTGCAAAAAATTCGTGAAAATTTTGAAGCTAGTAGAAAAGGCCGATACGCACGCTGCTTTATGAATTAAGTTTTCTTACGTCTGTTGAAGTGCTGTAGCAAGTTGAAGTATCGGAAACTTTTTGTTCAGAAAAACGGCTTCCACAGAAGTTTTCACAAAACCAGCTTTTGCATTTCATCCGCAATTTTGGAATAGCATAAAGCAAAAAATAATTAATTACATGGTGAAATCTAAGTTGAATCTAGTGTTGCAAGATGACAACAAGAATTGGGCATGTAAGGACCCTGCCCTTACATGTCCAAACCTTGCTATTATTTTGCAACGCTAGACCCTTCAAAACCTGCACGAACACCTACTAGTAGTGATGGCATCAGTAGAAGCAATGGGAGAGGAATTGGTAGTATTAGTATCTGTAGTAGTATTTATTGTAAAAGAAGTAACTGTCTCGATCAATTCTGTACTTTCAGTTTCAACCGTAGTGGCGGTGGACGTGGGCTTACTAGCTGAAACAGAAAATTCAGAAGTTATGTGATTTTACAAACATTTAAATGAAGAAGAGACCCGATAAAGTCTTAAAACTTAACTGTTCCCATCACTATTGCCCACAATATTCACCAATACCACGAGTGCTATACCAAGAGCGAGATCGATTCCTATCAATCCCGTCAAAGCCTTCCTAACAGCTGGCCCCATCCTATCTATAAAGATGACCTATAAAAATCGTCTAGAGGTTGTGAGTAACTCATGTGCTGCACATCAAATCAAGAGAAGATACACGGCACACAGCATCAAAGGAAGGACAATCTTATTCAAAAAAGAAACTCACGTCATAAGGGCTTGATTTGCGTTAATGATAAGAGGGGCAACAAAAACGCGCATTAAATAAAGTAACGTTCTATCTTAATTGTCTAATATGTCTGACTCTTTATTTGCAGCAAACATTTCGATACAGTTGCTATAAATTCCATAATCCCAATTATGGAAGATGTTTACCATTATGATGCCACAAATCCACGTACATGCGGATATGCACGCGTCATTTGCCTGCTAATTCAAATGTTGGACTAATGTAACCCTTAACATGTTGATTTCGCAATTTTGATTCTGAGCATTAATAAACTATTCTAGTACCAGTATTTAAGTTTACAGCTGATGTGCAGTATTTTGAACTTATATGCAGACAGCTTTGCACATTCGCGATATACACTGTTCAAACATGGATCGGGGACTGTATCAAGAATGTTTGTGCATTTGATAAATTAAATGCTAAACGCAAACAGAAAGTCTTAGTGTTTTTTTCTGAGTTTGAACACTATCCGGTTTCGGGGCTAAGAACTATACCCGTAGTGCAGCTTCCTTGGTGCCCCTCGTCAGTAGTTACAGTTCAAGTGCAATATTTTGGACTTATATGCAGACAGCTTTGCACATTCGCGATATACACTGTTCAAATAGGGGACTGTAGGTCGCCGATAGCTCCACCCTCGCACAGCTGATACAAACTAACAAGGTCCGTAATGTGAGGAGCTGCGTGCTTTGTCGCAGATGTCAACGTGGATTACATCTTTTCGGCGACACGTATTGCTCCACCCCAACTTGAAATTTTCACCTTATGTGAATATGGTGTTTCACATTTCAAAGTAAAGAAAATTTCAAAATTACAATCAAATCACAGATTCTTATAATCGAATGAGTCAGCAAAATTTCATGTTGTTGCACAAGCAAAAGATAAACTTTTACTTACCGACGTGTAAGCAGTACTTCTAAGGCGTCGCTGCACCTTACCCTGGCGCTACTTTGCAAGTGAAAGAAAGCGAAAATCATAAAAATTTCTACAAAAGCTTTTCTCACAAATTAAAAGGACAGCTGCTTACCACGAAAGCTATAAAAGCTTGAGCACAAACTCTGGAAGCAAAAGTCAACCTTGGCACTTGCTTACAAAAACGCAAAAAAAGATCAAGTGTTTCACAGCAGTGTGCCGCTATGCATATGGTAGGAACATGATTATGAACAATAATTACTCTTTGAAACATTTGTCCTCTGATGATAAAGTGTGTACGGTGTCAAAGTTGGATTACCAATAATTGTTCGCATCGCAGTACAGAAACACGTTTGAAGGAAGTTTTGTACTTAACTAGAGGAGATGGTACTTGTAACATAGAGGAGTGGGGTTCATTTTATTTCTTTCAGTTTACGGGGTTTTCAAAGGTGTGTATTATATTGCTTGACTGTTAGTATCTCTTTTCTCGTATACTGACCGCCAGATATCATTTTGCAGAATTGGCCACAAATCTCTAAAGCACGAAGCAATTCAGATCACTCTCAAATCGGCATAAGCTTCTAGCATATGGTGCCACTGTAAATTAGCTGTACAATATAAAAAAATTTAACAGCATGACCAGGGCTTTCAATCAACTGAATTTACTTCTTGACTTTTCACTAGTTTCGAATTCGTAAAGCTTCAAAAGATAGTCATCTTTTTTTTCTTATAAAAACAATCGTTACGATATGTCTAGCATGACTGGAATGAAGCGGTAAAGAGCAAATTTCAGATATGTAAATAACAACTTTAATAGTTTAGTGTAGTAGTTTCCGGAAAGTTTGGTTTGCTTTGTGAAAGCCATTGATGGCTCAAACTTTCCTTGAGGACAGCGTCCGGGCAAAATTTCAAACAAAATTTTTTTGCTTACCTAAGCTAATTCTTTCCGCTGATTCCGAAAATGCACCTTGCAGATTACGAAAATGTCGGAAACGGGCTATTTCAAAAGCTGTTAATCTTGAATTTCGACGCTTGCCGCCGAGGTCAAAACGCAGAGTCGTGGGACCCTACGTATTGACCGTACGCGACATACGTACTCTAACTATCGATTAGAGGGGTGGACAGGTCACCAGGGCGTTTTGGTCGCCACTTCTGAAGCGGTTTTCTCGCTTCAAAAGCAAAGTGGTGCAATGCCACATGGGCAGGAGCTTTACCAAGGGCGGGAGCCTTTACAATTTCATATCTGCCCGGGTGCAGCCTTACACACAGTAATCCTATACAAAACGCGATCAGCAATTCGCTCCATACTGTAAGTTTGAGTGAAGTCAGCCGTACAGTATTGGTCAGCAAAAGACTATATTAGAAGAGACATTAACACTTGACGACCGCTTGACACACATGGTGTGTCAAGCAAAGACTACCGCGTGGGACCGCTTGACACACCATGTATGTCAAGGCTTGAATTTTGTTAAAATAATTGCTATACTTTGATAAACATACTCCACGAGATTTCTTCAGCACTGAGTCTAAGGATGACTTCTACCGTTATTTTCAGCCTTGCAGATCTTCTGTAGGTGTAGTGTAGATGGCAGTATGCGTAATTATAGTTGAAAAATGCGAGCTGGTCCGTAAAAGGCCTTGGTCCCAGGAGGCAGACAACTAAAAATCTGCATGGTCGTCAATATGTTAAAGATCATGCAATATATACATACTCAAAAACTTTGTTTGTTCAACTTTCCATAATAAGATATTTTTTCAAACACTTATTTACTTTACTTCACCAAAAATTTCGAAGGCTATAGAAGTTGAGTACTTAAACTTTTCAGAAACTTCTCCTTCGAACTTATATTGAAGCGTTGAGCATTCGCCAACGTTTTCTTCATTCATCTTGATGAAAAAAAACAAGATTTCTCAGTTACTTCACCTTTTCTAAGGAAGCAGGTTTTTTCCATTTCCTTGTGTAATAAGCTTAGATATCAATTTTGGTTTTTTGATCCTTTGTACAGCCTCTACTCCGAAGCTCCATCCTTTAGCAGTCTAAATGATTTTTTGGCATTGAATTCTAACAAAATTTTTTCCCTAAAGCCTCCATATTTGCCTAGCGCAACAATGCCATAATTAATCCGCGTGGTCCACCTAATCCGTTTGATCCACTTGGTCTGCTTGACCCACATAGCTATTCGTCAGCTCCCTGGTCCAATCAATGCGAAGTGGATAAAATGAATCAAAAGGATCAAGTTAAGTATTATTTTTTTCTCAACTGTTTTACTTGAAGCTGATAACAGTAGTTCATGGGAACCAAAACCTTAGTGGATAAAAGTGATATATTTATTCACTTTTTAACTGCACATTTTTACGAGCAACCACCAGTAAAGTGAGTAATAATGTTGCACACTTTATACAACTCTAAAAGACTAACTGCTATGTTGTGTTTTATTGAATACAATAGTAAAGTGTTCAACATTGTCTAATTTAATTTGGCACAAAAAGGCATATTGACAAAGCAAATCACAGGTACACGTCTTCTATGCTGTCAGCTTTGGCTTTCGGTGTTGTTATCTCGTTGACTATTTTAAGAAACGTCTCAAACAGTCCTTGTGCAACCCATTTGATTCTATTTTTTTGAAAGTTATAAGCAATCTCACTGAAATCGTTATCTAGGTAGATTCTGTTTTTCTATTCGCGGGTCTTTTTATAACTCCAATTTGGGACACAACTTAGGAGCTTGCACCAAACGCCCTTTGGGAAGCATGGACGGGTGAGCAACGTTGTTTTCAACGGAAGAAGCATTGAATACAAAGGCACAAGTTTACGTTATCACTATGGTGAGCATTCTAAACACATCAAGGGAAAATTAGTGTATGGGACTTACGAGGCGTAATCGCTAACCTTTCGCTTATCGCACAGCAATAATCTCGTTCTGAAGTCTTTCGCAGTCAAAGTCGGACGTTACAATAAGGGGCACCACTATTGTATAGCGTCAAATCTTTCCATTCTCAAATTCGCTTCATCAATGCCATGTCTAAAACAATAGAACTTCCAACGCTGAACAGAAACGTCAAAAACAGGGACCACTTGTAGTGCCAGCGATTGAACACTAAGAAAACTAACATTCCTATATTTTCAAGTACGTTTTTAAATTCTTCATTGCCTAAATTTCTTTCGCTTGATAGAGATGAGTTTTCAAAAAACGAAACCAAAACTGTCACCTCATACTTCAGTACGCTCTCTTTTTTTATGTCTTTGATTTGCCAAACACTCATGAGAGATCCGTGTCACAGCCTTTCTGTGCCGAGTAGTAATGTTCAACGCATAAAATTCGGAATTTAAGTTTTATGCGCTCATAAGGTTTGCCGAAATGTTGACAAACTTATAATGCTACAATTCTCTTATTCAATCTTTCCATAGCATTCGCATCACAATGTTACCGGGATCGTATAGTAGGACATCATGTTCCACTATTATAAGTATCTTATTTGTGCTGAACGATTGAGATTTAACGAGTTTTTAGGCGGTGGAATTTGGTTGAGCATGCTCAAAACAGCAAAGCAGAAAAACTCGATTAATGCGAGACTAGGATGCTTTTCAATGATGTGTACACTTTTTGCTGTTCTGCTAAAATCTATATTGAATGTATGTGGGCCGCGAGTGATTTACCCATAATTCATGTCAATTAACCCTCCTGCACTGAGTGCAATGAAGTTTCCAAATACTGACCTAGATGAATTGACCATTTAACATGTTAACTTTGTTTCAGAGATAAAGATACCTCTTTTACAACAAATACAAAGCGCTACTCCTTCTTCGTTCATGTGAGTAATCCCTCTTCGAATGCGTGCCAATTAGGCTTAATCAATTCTGTGAAAATTGAAAGATTCACATATCGAATCATTTATTAGGTTGCTGCAGCGTTTCAGGTGCTGCGGTTGTTAAGTTCGGTCCGAATTGAATTTTTTAAGTTCGAAATGTCATAACTTTCAGAGTCAACTTTTCTCCAAGATTTTAGTTTCTGTATTTTGTGCAATTCCTTGGCTATCAGACGCATGTTAAAACCTGCGAAAATCCTTGCTAAGGAAGAAGCAAAAACTCAAAAACTTCAGAGCGTTTTTCTTCAAACCTGTCTTGTTTGACATGGCAATGCTCCCTTATGAGAATTGATAGGCATCTTGTCTAACAATGGATAGATAAAGAATTTTTCGTAGATTATTATGCACCATAAAAGAACCCACAGGGTTTGCGTTGCTGAGAGATTTTTTTGACCGAGCAAAAAAGAAGCCACTTTTAGACCTCGCTTCAGCGCATGTGTGCATGCCTATTTACAAATTTTGAAAATTTTACAATTGAAGTGAGCGCCGAAAAGGAATTGGCGGATGGGCCTTGCTATGCTAACACTTGCTTTACCCTAGCACCTTCAACTTTGAACTCATCGATTAATACTTCTATTCGAGGAAAGTTATTGTCTGTAAAACATTTACACAAAAAATTGTTGTTTGACAATAAATTTTACTAGCAAGCATTTTCTTCACGAAAGTGAACTTATGCGTTTGGTAGCTTGTTACCCCCTTATTCCGCAGCCAATGAAAGAACTTGACTTGGACGCATTGTGGAGATTTTTTCGCAAGAACATATTTCTAGAGTGAGAACATAATTCGTCCACTTGTAGATTTCAGGCCTAAAATATCCTTACACTAAGGAACTTATTGAAATTTGAAATGCATCAAAAAGAGCAAGAAAAGAACTTTGTAATAATACTAACAATACCACATTAGAGATAAAATTCTTTTAGAACAGCTGCCTCAAACATAAGTCAAAAAAGCGGACAGAACTTATGCAGCAACCTAACATATAATTCGCTACATTTCTTCAGAGGCAGGTTGATGCCTCTGTGGCAGCCATTTTTTAAGGTTGTGCCACACCTCAACAGTTTACCACTTAAGAAAGTTGGAGGGGGATCGAGGATGGTTTTAGGCTAATCTGTGATTTGATTCCATTTAGGGTTAATCCAAACTTCTTGCAAAGTATGACCCTGCCATAGAAAATGCTCGGATGCTAGAAGTAACAGATGGACACACAAAACTGCTCTGATCATTTGTCATATTGCAATGAAATGCAGGTGAGAGTCACGGTTGTTGATAACACTCACTTATCATCTGATGTCATAAAGCTTCTCAGCCTTGGTCTCTCCTTCTCCCCTGCACAAAACGTCCACGCAATAGCATACCGCAAAGTAGTAGGCGCGATGGTAACAAAAGTTGCTCAAGAGTCGAATCGGGTACCGGCAATTCCATTTCCTCCATCTTTCTAACAATAAGATAGCCAGAACCAGTATTGAACATAGACAAAAAATCTCGTATCTTGTCTTCTGGTGTATTAGAAGTGCTGACTAGGTCAAACGACAATACCAGAACAGTTTTGTCACCTGAAAAGCGGCGAGCTTCCAAAGGGATACGTGAGCTCATATCGAATGATTCCTGCATCTGTCTGTTAGCGATGAAGTTTAAGAATTTGTCGTAATGCCACAAGAACTATCGCCGTATACACGAACTTCCCGTGTTGGTATCGTACTTTGCACCCGAGAAAGTTGTGGTAATTTACAGCAATCAAGTTTTCTCCCAGATTCAAGTCCTTTAATGGCTTATCGATGATTTTCTCATGCTTGCTTATGAGTGTTTATATTCGCTTGCACATAGAAGTAGCCAGAGCTTAGTGTACATGTCGTGTCTCATCTTGTTTGGTTTCCGTTTTTTGCACATTGCCTTCTAGTTCAAATTTTATATTATTCATTATACCTGCTTTTTCACTTTTTTACTACCTCGCAAAGTTCACATCACATTCTCTTCGCAGATTTACAGCAACTCACGCTTAAACCACTTACGCTTGAATGTATGTACTAGTACATCATTATCGTAATCGTATTGTAATTTTTAGGCCCGTATCACGTACAATCCCCGCTGGGGAGGGGAGGGAATCTGAGAGGAAATGCGTCATATCTCATTATTTTAATCTTTCTCTTCTTTCTTTATCTTGCTTATGAAGGTTCTCACACCCGCATACCTGCGCATAATAAATGACAGGTTACTGCCATACAATTGTTTTTTGCCATCTTGTGTGATCCCCATGGGGAATTTTCATTTTATTGAATTTTTTTGAATTTCATTTCATTTTAGAAGATTCGACGACGCTCGAACCACGATAGGGAAGTCTGCAGGTCCGAGACAGGTTTATTAACAGGCCGACGATTTGCAAACTGTCCGGTTCTTTACAGCCTCATAAAGACGCACAAGCTTTGAACTACATGTTAACGGATACTTTCAAAATAAAACCTACAGGGCTTATCAAATAAAGTATCGCTTGCCCCAGCATGTCCACTCCTGCGTTGGACTTTGCATCTTTTCCACGGAACATGCTTTCTCAGTACTTTCCCAGAGCGATCGTGGGAAAGGCGGAGCCTTGATTGATTGGAATTGACTAGGGAGCATGTTCCGCGAAAGAGACGCAGAGTACAGCGCGGTAGTGGAGATGCTGGGGCAAGCGACACTTCATTTATTAAGCCCCGTATAATGCGTTGGCGGTACAACCGACGAAATTTTATGGCTTCTGGTTTGAAACAGAATCGTGAGCCATTTGCTGTGTAAGGTACCAACACACACACTTATGCACGTCAAGCTTGACACGAGCGTTCTATAGAGTTTCGACGTAACATCACTCTATACTAATGTGCAAAACAAGCAAGCTTTACAAGCGTTGTCGGAATTGCTGGATAAGTATGCGAGTACCATAAACATGTTTGAACTTGACAAATGCGTAAGATGGCTCTTATTGACGAATGCCTGAACTGTAACATCTTCAGAGCGGACTAGCAATGGGTCAAAGACTGGCGCCAGTTCTTGTTATTTGTTTTATGAGCAAAGCTGAGGAATCAGTGTTAGCTCATACACCTTTAATGTACTGTCGCTGCATCGACGACTGCTGTGCCATTACGTCAGCGGAGTCCGGAATGGATAAGGGTCTCAAAATTATGAACCACTAGTCGCATTACATGAAATTCACGCGCGGAATACCACACGACGGTTGGATGCCATATCCCAATGCACAAGTGAACCAGTGGCATTAATAATATGGAAACGTAAGGAAGGCTCTAAAAACATTTTAATAAATGTTACGCACATCCTGCATCTGTTAAGTGTGCAGTTATCACAAATATGTACAAGACGGTTATGCAGATGTGCTCTGGGGAGAGAGAACGCTGCAAATTGCGAAATGCGCTTTTGGAATTGCTTGCAGTAACGGTTACCATGACTTATCTTGTTCCCGACGATCTAGGAATGGTAACAGCATTCATAGTATAGTCGTCCTCACCCCACTAGTCGGTCGGTGGTCGAATTTGAATTCGAACTGGAGCAGACCGGCTGCGACAGAGCGCGGTAGAGCCTCTCAGCTAACCGCTTGCACATGAGCTTTTCTCTTATTTTCTTCGTGTTTCTTTGCTATCTTTCGTATTGCGGCAATGTTCTTTATCAGATTTTTAGATTTTGCACCGCTAACTATTGTTTTGTGCAGTTGTGCTCGTTTGTTTTACATTTTCTTCCATGTAAACCGGGAAGAAGGATGCGATTGGAGATTTTTGGATGAGAAATCTCTTTTTTCCGGTAAGTGACATACACACTAATGTGATTTGATAAAATGTGTCAAGTTTTTCGTTAGATTATGTACTCTAAACTTTTTTTGAGTCAAGGCTGAAACTCTCAAAAAATGTTTGTTTCAAAGAGTTAGCGGTAGGAATTTGAAAGTCTGATTAAGAACTTTGCCGCAGTACGAGAGATAGAAAAGAAACAAGAAGAAAATAAGAAAAAAGCTTGTGCAAGCGATTGGCTGAGGAGCGGTCTGCCGCGCTCTGAGGCGGCCGGTCTGCTCCAGTTCGAATTCAAATTCGACCATCGACCGACTAGTGGCGTGAGGATGACTATACCAACAAACTCCCACCCTGCCTTCGCTTCATCTCAGATCACATAACCGCGGCGTGTCAACAATGCATTTTTCGAGCACAGTTGCAAGATGATTTTGCTCTAGCTTTCCTTTCCTTTCTAGCGCCCCACATGAATAGCAAGTTATTCACTTTTCCTTCTGGACCAGTTGCAGTGTTTATTGTCGTAAAGCTGTAAAAAAATCATGGAGTACACTTGAAGGCACCAGCAACTTAAGCCTGATGCTCAACATACGTACTTTCCACCCAGTTCGTTATGTGAAGATCCTCTTTGCATGGCTTTGTGAGCTTCACCTTCGAATTTCTCATAGGTATCGCACATTTTATCGAAGACATTTGTAAAATCGGTTTTTTGTGCTACTGAGCCGTAAGCCCAAATTCCAGTACTCGAACCTTGCCTTACTTTGAAAAGCTTGCTGGCGACTTTTAGGATTAGACTTTTTTCCTTAAAAAACTGAACTTCAGCTATGGAATTTGCTTATTCATGTACAGTTGTGGGAGAAAATAGCAGTTTCGCAAGAAATTGTTCCTTTCGATGTCCTTTACGAGATAATGAAGCTTCACCTTGTCTATCTCTCTTGCTTTGTTAATGTATTGCAAATCCACTACGCAAACGCAGTTGATGCTTGGTGGTGCTAAAAGACGTAATTGATGTTTCTTGGTGTAACCTTTACGTAGTATTTAACAGAACCTTCGTAATTCGTCTCATTAACGGTGTTTGGGTAATGCCAAAGTCTACAAAGTATCGCGCATTTTGTCGAATACATCAACAAATTGCTTTCTTTGTAATAATGAGCCGTAAGTCCAGATAAAGTCGATTTTCTCGTTAAGAAGTAGTTTCCGTAAACGTTAAGAATAAGTCCCTTTCCGTAAAAATCAAACTACAGCTATCAGAAGTTTATTCGCTCAGTTACAGATGTAAGCGAAAGCAGTAGTGATCGCAAAAATTGTCTACTTGAGCACTGTACGTAAAATGAGACTTCCCCCTGTCAATCCTGTTTTACTAGTGTACTGGAATTCTATGAAGACGCAACCTATGCCTTTGGACGCTCAAATCCTAACTAATAGTAAAAGCAATGCCTGAAAAAATACCACGGCATCAAAACAAGATGGATCCGAGAGTGTTTCGTTTCGACATCTAGTTTTTGTTGATGTAATCAAAAGATTATGCTTTAAATAAAATCTAGTACGTTGCAAAAGGTTTAAAAAGCCGTATTTCAAATATGTTAGCAATATATCAGTGACGTACAGAGGAGGTCGGGGGGAGGGGGGGGGGGAGGGATCATGCCGAGAAGGTTTCGAAAATTTTAGAGGATGACTATATGAATTGTAGAAATGTGCAGACTTGTTTATACTTGTATAAAATTTAAAAAAATTTCTGGGATTCTTGGAAATTAAATTAGTCTTGTGAGATTTTTTCGGAGGGGGTAGGGGGTGGGGGGGGGGGAGAACTGCCGCCACGCCAGCGTGCCACAGGATTTCTCGGAATGCGCGGCCAATATATTTATTTTGGACCGAATCAAATAAATATTCGAGTATTCAAATACTATTTCGAGTATTCTAAATAAAGTATTCGAATGAAGTTTTTCAAAATTCGATTATTCGAAAATCTCAAAATCTCGAATATATTCGTTATTCGCTTAGTCGAAATTCGTCAATTTCTAAATTATTCGATTATTCGGTTACTCGAAAATTTTGATTTTCGAAAATATTCGAACATTCGAATATTTGTTTCCAGAAGTTATCCGATTTTTCGACAATTGCGTGTAATCGAATAACTACATGACAGCGTCACAATTTTGATTGCTATATCAACAACCATCGTTTGTTGTCCAAGTTGCCCACTGCATGGAGTCCTTCATTGTGCTAATTCGATCAAAATTTATTTGTATATTTTAAAAAAATCATCGATGCAAGATATCCGTTTATTCGAATTTTTTCTCAAATATTAGGTTAAACCGAAAGTTCTTTCGCACCAAATTCAATAATTCATAACTTCTGAAATTTTCAACCGATTTGACTGTTTTTATTTTTGTATGAAAGAGCAGGTCATGCCCTTTATAATGGCGTCTTAGCTGCTCACTAATGTTCATCTGTTACATAGATAGGAGCGATAGAAGAAAATTAAACTTTGAATTTTCTATGTAGGGTCATGAAAAATCGGACACTTGCAACAAAAATCGGAGCAGTCGTATTTTAGGTTATTTCACCAGTTCTTTCTAACAGTGCAAAGTTTGGCTGACTGAGGGACTCTATGAAAAGTTATGATTTTCGAGCTAGCGATGGAAAAGGCGAATTTGATTTATTTCGGTATTTTTCGGGGAAATCACAACTTTTTATAGAGACGCTCAATCGGCGCAAACTTTGCACTGTTAGAAAAACTGGTGAAAGAATCTACAATATCTTCTGCTCCGATTTTTGTTGCAAGTTTCCGATCTTTTATGACCCTACACAGAAAATTCAAAGTTTGACCAATTTTCTTCTATCGCTCCTGTCTATGCAACAGATGAAAAATAGTAAGCAGCTAACAATAAGATGTCTTTATGAAGGCTCTGACTTGCTCTTTCATACTAAAATAAAAGCAGTCAAATCGGCTGGAAATTTCAGAAGTTATGAGTTTTTGAATTTGGTGCGAAAGATTTTGGTTTAACCTAATATATTCGACTATTCGAATTTTTCGATTTCGAATATATTCGATTATTCGATTATTCAAAAAAAATCGTATATTCCAATGTATAGTGGCCAACTACAAACACCTTAGCTTGAAAAATTTCATTTGTTGCGCCTAATCTGAAGGAAATCTATGGACCGCCACTGTTAAATTAGGTCTTCATAATTACGTTTTTTTAAGCAAGCTCCACATTCCGTAAAACAAATTTTTTTTCATAAAATCTCGCCAGTATTCGATGCTGTTTTTCATGATCTTTCGAACGATCGCCTTTATATTGCAGTTCAATGAAGGATCTTTCAAAAAATTACAAAAACACGAGCCATGGTTTTACCAAGGTGGTTTCTTTTTTGAACTTTCTTCGAAAAAGTCTAAACAGTAAAACGACTTTGTTCTCCTTCCTATAACTGCCATAATTTTTCAGGAGAAATCAAAAAATACCATCGAATTCTAGCGAATCCCTATAAGCAGACCAAACATTCAAAAACTCGATTTTTGATACATCCAAAAGTAACTATGATTTAGCATTATTTCTGCAAAACAGAAGAGCATTCAGGTTCTCGAATTATCAAGCCGTGAATTTTCCAAGTACAGCTAATGGTGCATTCAAAGCATGAATTTTATTGATTTCATCCCACAAAACTGTACGAATGATAAGCAAAGAACATCTTATGAAAGAGGAACATTTGCGTCAAATAATCTACCTGTTTAATGTTCTATGAGATTTGAGTTGACCAGATATGGAATTTGGTAGATTAAAATATTAGGTGGGTCCAAAAGTTCGTTTGCTGGATTTTCGAAAAAATCATAACTTCCTTACTTCTCGGTAGAATTTCTTGAAATAATTTTTATTTGAAAGAGGAAACCCTTCTCTTTACAAAGTTCGCTTCGCCATGAAATGGCGTGAGAAAGTTCGAGAGCTAGAAGCAATTGAATAAATTTACTCAAGATTGGCATTTTTTAAGCTGGACCACGAAAAATTCCAGAACTGTTATTATTTGATAAAGAAAATTATGCTCTTTACTATAGTGCCTTTTCCACGAATTAAAACGAAAAAGATCGAAAGTTACAAGTAAATAAAGAGAATTGCTTCAGTTTTACAATTTTTGAGCATGCCCAAGAAAGCCCAAAAACGTCATAAAAAAGGCGAAAGAGCTAAGAACACAGGTTGTGTGACTTTCTCTTTCTAGCTGAGCAAAAATCGTACCAATCGAAGGCAATTTTGTTTTTCGTGATTTTTCGGATTTTCGGGTCTGCGTTTTTCACGAAAATCAAAATTGCTCTCGATTGGCCCGATTTTCGCTCAGCTAGAAAGAGAAGGTCACAAAACCCCTGTTCTTGGCTATCCCGCCTTTTTTGTGACGTTTTTGGACTTTCTTGGGCATGCTCAAAAATTGTAAAACTGAAGCAATTCTCTTTATTTACTTGTAACTTTCGATCTTTTTCGTTTCAATTCGTGGGAAAGGCACTATAGTAAAGAGCATAATTTTCTCTATCAAATAATAACACTTCTGGAATTTTTCGTGGTTTAGCTTAAAAAAAGCCAATCTTGAGTAAATTCATTCAAGTGCTTCTAACTCTCGAACTTTCTCACGCCATTTCATGAAGAAGTGAAGGTTGTAAAGACAAGGGTTTTTTCTTTCAAATAACTAATTCAAGAAATTATACCAAGAAGGAAGGAAGTCATGATTTTTCGAAAATCCGGCGAACGAACTTTTGGACCCACTTAATAATAAAGATTTTGAGAAGTAGGCTATGGATGGCGAAAAAATTGTTCTGTTCCTAGGAAGTTTGCTCTAATTATCCGCATGTATTTCTTTGGAAAATTAGTACAAAAATTTAGAATAGCGGGACTTGACCATGGGAAAGACCACGGGTGGCACCGTTCCTGGTAATTTTCGCTCCTCCGTTGAACTGCATTATAGAGTCAATCATTTGAAAGGGCGCGAAAAACCGCATCCATTTTACCAAAATCAACGTAAACCTTGTCTCGCGAAATGTGGCGCTTCTTCCAAAATCAACAATATTTTTAAGACGACTAGTACAAGATGTCTCAGTAAGTACACATTTTTTGATCGCAACCCTCTTCCCATTAAGTTTTTACTCAGCTCTAAATACCGGACTAAAGCTGGTTTCATCTTGACATAACATAAATCGATAGGTCTTGATTAATGTAAATATATTGCCTTCCAGCATATAGCACCGTTGAGAAATAGCCCATTCAAGAAAAGTTTCGGAAAAATATGAAGAGTGCACTGCAGGTATTTTCAGGAACCTGATTTCATTAAACAAGTTTTTGCGAGTTTCTAAGCAGTAATGTTTGAAAAACATTTGGAAAACGTTGTTCAATCAATTCGAAATGCTTATAAAAAGGCTTTGAGTTACGGTACGAATTTCACATCCAATGTCAACGACTTAATTTAGCCTACTAGAGCTAGAGCTCAGATCTTTTTAATTACTTCCAGTACAACAGGAAGATTCCTTAAGCGAAGTGAACACAAAAGTGGTGACCACAGTGTCTTACAGTCACTTAGATGGATTTTCTACGAAGCAGGCGATCTTTACATTTTGGGCAAAACTCATGAGGGTGATTTCGTAGGCCCCTAACTCGGCGATTGCTAAAGATTAAAGCCAGATTCATGCACCGTTAAATAGCACGCTTTCTAATGAATCTAACCTGCAAAGGCAAGCAAGCAGATTTCCTAAGAGATGCTCGAAAAATGCAAGCGAATCTACGAACTTGCGTGGCTTAGCTAAAGTTCCCTCACCATATCTCTGCTAGAAAACTCTGTACTCCGCGCAAAAGACGATTATCGTAAACAGCGTGTTCGAAAAACTCTTTGAGCGAAGTTTCCTGATCTACTAAACGGTACATGTGCTGAGCAAAATGCTGTGGAGAAGAAAGCTTTTGATGATTTGAAAGCGTGTACCTTGGTTTGGGACACTCTGTATATTGTAAAGCTGTAATAGAATGACTAGGCACTTTATGTTGTTTCAGCATAAGAAGAGTACCGGATTGTGTTGCATTCAAATCCAGTTCTCACGGCTGAATGGCCGACGTTTTAGAAGAACGTAATGTGCATTTTGAGCAACTTTTTGAAAGGGTATAAAAGCTGGGATGCAAACTTGTAAGGTTTTGATGAGCAGTCTGCTTTGCTTTTTTCCTTAAAAAAGGTTGATTGAGTTGTGTTCCGTATATTAACATTGAGAAAGAATTATTGTAACAGAAATGCAAGTAAGTGTTTCAAACCGTTAATTCACAAACCCATGTCATTAAGCGTTTACTCTTGGACTTGGATGATCCAAGGATCATAGCTGTCCAAATAGCGATTAGTATCTTTCGTTGCTTAGTGAGAAGCATTGTGCTCCACAAGATGAATTCCAGAGAAACTTTAGCGATGGCATCTCGTGCTAGATTGACAGAAGTGCTCTAATATCGTACCTGTTGTTGTTGTAGTCGTCGTCGTTGTCGTTGTCGTAGTTGTTGTTGTAGTAGCGGTTGTAGTGGTTAATACTTAATCCATCAAATATCTTATCAACCGTTAGATATGAACGAGGAGATGTATGTGGAAAACTACATATACATTTTTGTTTGCTCTTGTCAATGACTCTCATGCCTCAGCGTATTTGGTATACCACATTGCTTTCAACTGGAGCTATCATCAATCAGATCTACGTCAATTTCAATCAGACTCTTGGTCCTTTTGAGATTAGCTGCGCTTCCGACACAATAACGTTACTGCAATCAGCCGCTGTAAAAAATTCGTGCAATGTTTTGAAAGCTAGTAGGAAAGGCTAATACCTACACTGCTTCATGAGTTGAGTTTTCATACGCTTGTTAAGTGCTGTAGAGCAAGTAACAGTACTCGGACAAGGAAAGGATACTTGGTGACCGTGGCCTTTTGAGTGAAATATATATCATTGAATGCATCTTGAAGCACTAATATCAAATCCGTTTTCATTACCTACTGTGCGCTCTTCCGGAAGGAGTTATGAACATTTCTTGTCACCAAAATTTGCACTGTTATTTGATGCACAGGATTCACCAATATCGTTAGAATGTTAGCTTACGCACTACAAAAGAGCGTACAAATAAAGTGAAGCTTCACGTTAAGCTCAGGGAAACTTTCACCGATACATCAGGGTCTAAAAAGCCTGGATAGTGGCAATTTTGGCTGCCTAAATCTCGCAAAATCGATATGGAAAAAAGTCCATAACTTCGTTCAGGGGGCTGCACAACAGATAATGAACATAGACTTGAAATCAGCGTTTCAAGACGCACCTACTGGTATACATATCAGTGCAAAAAGCCACGGTCACCAAGTATCCTCCCCTCGTAAGGCTTTTTGGAACCTGTCAAAATAACCGGCTTACACAAATCTCAAAGCAGCTTTTACCATAATTCTGTAACAGCGGAAAGCAAAAAATACTTACAATTAGTTTATGGTTGAATCTAAACCGAAGCTAGCGCTGCAAAATAATAGTAAAGTCTCGTAAAATCTTTTGAGGCACCAGAATTATCAACGAACAAACGGATGTACACATTTTGGGACAACCAGCAGATTATTGAAGATTGCTGATCTACACGTGTGTAAAGGATTGGACATGTGACGATTTGACCCTTCAAGACCTGCACGAACACCTACTAGTAGTGATGGCATCAGTAGTGGCAATGGGAGAGGAATTGGTAATGTTAGTATCTGTAGTAGTATCTGAAGTACTTATTATAAAAGAAGTAACAATGTCGATCAATTCTTCACCTTCAGTTCCAGCCGTAGTGGCTGGGGCACGAGCGGTGGAAGCAGGTTTTGAAGTAGTTTCAAAAAAATTTCAAAGTTATGTAAATTTCCAAACATTTGAATAAAGAAGATGAAAAAGTTTTAAAACCTAACTGTTCCCATCACTATTGCCCACGAGATTCACCGATACCACAAGTGCTACACCAAGAGCGAGATCGATTCCTATCAATCCTGTCAAAGCCTTCCTAATAGCTGGCTTCATCCTATCTATAAAGATGACCTATAAAAATCGTCTAGAGGTTGTGAGTAACTCATGTGCTGCACATCAAATCAGCAAATCAAAAATAGCTTTTATAAATTGTCTACAAGCTGTGGGTAATTGATGTACTGCTCAAATCAGGAAAAGATACAGAGCACACAGCATCAAAGGAAGGACAATCCCAGTCAAAAAAGAAACTCACGTCATACGGGCTTGATTTGCGTTAATGATAAGAGGAGCACAAAAAAGCGCATCAAATGAAGTAACGCTCTCTCTTAATTGCCTAATTTCTCTGACTCTTTATGTGCAGCAAACATTTCGACACAGTTGGTAAGTTTGATAACCCCAATTGTTATAAGATTATAACTTTGATGCCACAAATCCACGTACGTGTGGATGCATGCGTCATACGCTTTCTAACTGTGGACTAATACAACTCTTAGTGTTGATTTCGCAGTTCTAGTTCTGAGTTTTTATGAACTATTTTAGTTTCAATTTTCAAGTTAACTGTTGAAGGTAACCTTTGAAACTTGTACACAGACAACTTTGCACATTCGCGACATACACTGTTCAAACATGGGTAAGGGACTGTAAGTCGGCGATGGGCTCCACTTCGCGCGCATAGCTGATATGAAGGCTTATAGCGTAATGAGCTGCTTTCCCGCATACGTCCGCGTAGGACCACCTCTTGTCGGCAACTTACAGTGCTCCACCCCACTTATATACCTTGTGTGAATGTGGTACTTCACATCTCGATGCAAAGAATGTTTCAGAATTACAATTGAATCACAGATTAGTCTTATAATTTAATGAGTCAGTAAAATCTGTTGTCGTTACACAAGCAAAAGATAAACTTCTACTTCCTGACGTATGAATAATACTTCTGAGGCGGTCTATGCACTGAATACCTAACTTACCCTGGCGCAACTTTGCAAATGAAATGCAAAGAATGTTTCAGAATTACAATTGAATCACAGATTAGTCTTATAATTTAATGAGTCAGTAAAATCTGTTGTCGTTACACAAGCAAAAGATAAACTTCTACTTCCTGACGTATGAATAATACTTCTGAGGCGGTCTATGCACTGAATACCTAACTTACCCTGGCGCAACTTTGCAAATGAAAGAAAGTGAAGAACATAGATTCAAACAAGAGCTTTTTTTTTACAAATCAAGGAGATAATCGTTTTAGAAGAGAGCTATAAAAGCTTGAGCACAAACTCTGGAAACAAAAGTTAACGTTGGCAGTTGTTTGCTAGAACGAATAAGCGATCAAGTGTATTGCAACAGTGTGCTATGTATATGTCTAGGGCATGATAATGAACAATAATTACTTTTTGGAGCGCTTTTTCTTTGACGATAAAGTGAATGCGGTGTCAAATTTGGATTATCAATCATTGTCCGCATTACAGTGTAAGAGCACATCTGAACGAAGTTTTTTACTTGTCTAGTTGGCCTATCTGTAACATAGCTCATCCAAGGATTATGCTCATTTCTTTTTATATACGGGGTATTCCAAAAGTATTCAAATACTGCTTGATCGTCAGTATGTCCTTCTTCGTTTACCGAACTTTAGATATCATTTTGCAAAGCCGGCTTCAACTTTCTCAAGCATGGGGCAATTCTGATCGCTCTTACACTCGGCAGAAAATATTAGCATAAAGCACCATTGTAAATTAGCTGTACAAAGTACTCTAAAAATTCTAACAGTATAGCAGGCTCCAAATCACACCGTTTTGCTGCTTGACTTTTGGATAGTTCGAGTTTGTAAAGCTTCAAAATGATGTAATAACCTTTTTCCCATGAAGCAATGAGAACAGTTGTTAAGGTATACTTGGCATAGCTGGAACGAGGCTAAAGCGCAACTTTAATATATAATTGACAACTCTAATAGCTTAGTGTAATAGTATCAGGAGGTTTGGTTGGCTTCGTGAAGGCTTAAAACTTTCTTTGAAGTTGCTACGTATTTACAAGGACAAAAAGCGGTTTCCACATCGTAAATCTGGGTGAAGTTAGCCGTACAGAATTGTTCCTGCTGGTTAGTAAAAGACTTTGTATTAAGAGAGATATCAAGATTAAGCAATGTATAAATGCTTAGAAACTTTGTGTGATCGACTTTCCATAGAAAATGTTTTTCAAACTATTTACTTTAATTCGCAAAGATTAAGTACTTCGACTTTTCAAAAACTTTTCATTCAATCCGAATTTATCTGCATTAAAACGTTAAGCATTCATCAAAGTCCTCCTCATTTATCTCAATAAAAAAAGTTTCAAATACGTTTGCTTTTTTCAAGTAGGCCGGTTTTTATTTTTTAAATTCTTCTGCCTAATAAGCTGGAGTAACAATTTTGATCAATTTTACAGTCGCCACTCCGAAAACTCGAGCCTTTACCAATCTAAATTTTCTTGCGTTAACTAGCAAAACTCCCTCCCTGCTCAAAGCCTCCATTTTTGGCTTGAGCTCACACATACTGTACATAATTGATCCGCGTAGTCACAGTCATAAAATTTGATCCATTTGATCCACGTGAACCACATCGTTATTCGTCAGCTCCCTGATCTAAAACGCGAAATGGATGAAGTGGATCAAGCGGATCAAGTTAAACAGAACATTCTCAAACATTCGACTAGCGCTGCGTCCTACTTACCCTCTAATTCATTTGGCGGCTGGAAGGCGGGGCTTCTTGACCTGGTTAAAGGCAGCGTCCAGACAGATCCGAGCTCGGCGATCACGCCCACTTCCCTCGGACGGTCAACCCCTTATGAACGAAATCTCCTCAGCCTTGACGTGTTTTCACATGACCAACACAGTCGAACTTACAGCGTTTACCTGTTAATACCTGCTTTCGACAAGGATAACATCAAAAGCACTCGTCCGGGTTTTCCCAAAATAGCCCCAAAAGGTGGTTTTCTGAGAAATTTACGCTTTTTGAGTTCCATATTCGGAATCAGCGCCATGGAAAAGCCTGGATAACATAAAAATATAGAAGTTGAGAATCTGCCAAAACGTTGCCTTTAAGGAATGATAGAGAGCGCGCGCAAGAGACGCAGACTGCGTAGCGTGCGCGAGCGGCATTAGTTAGGTCTAAAAAATTGAATCTAAGGTTACCATGTTTAAGGCATCATTTTTTTCTTCAACAGTTACCTGAAGCTGGTAACAACTGTTTGAAAACCAAAGCCTTCTAGTGGCTGGAAGTGATACATATATTTATTTACTTGCAGATGTCGGGCGTGCGCTATACTCCTCGAGGAGTTTTGCGCCTGCCTCAGCGACTACCAATAAAGTGAATGGTAATGTTGCCCACTCTATACAACTGTGTTAAACTAATTGCTATATTGTGTTTCATTGAAATAATAGCAAAGTGTTCAACATTGTCTGGTTTACCTTGACATGAGAGGTCATAATGGAAAGCAAATCACGTGTGCACGTCTTCTATGCTGTCACCTGTGACTTTCATTGTTGTTATCTCATTAACTATTTAAAGAAACGACTTGAGCAGTTCTCGTGCCAATTCAGTTTTGATTGTCAAAAGAGTGCAAGCAGTTTGCTTAAAATAATATTTCGATACTGTCTTTCTCCTTGTTGAGTCTTTTCATGGATCCTATTCTAGACACAACTTTGAATTCTGCCCCAAAATCCGCTCTTCGTCAAGCGCAGACAAGTGAGTAACACTATTGTCAAGGGGCGGGGAGGGGGGGGGGAACAGAAACACACGAGACACAAAAACACGTTATCATTGTGGTGCACATTCAAAACGCGTCAAGGGGAAATATGAATGACAGGATTGAAGCTACACTTACAGGGGCGTGGACCAAACCTCTTCTCTTATCGCAAAGCAATTGATCTCGTTTTTGAAGTCTTTCGCAGCGTTAATTGGGAGTTAAGAAGAGGCCCACACTATCGTATAGCGTAAGATCTTACAATGCTTAACTTCGCCCCAGTAGTGCTTAAAGCAGTGAAAATTCCAGCGTTAAACAGGGACTGAGATTGAATCGACAAGGAAAGATGAACAGTGCGACGTGGGTGGTATACGAAAAGCTGAATGTTTTGTCAAAAGACCAGAAAGACATACTACAAACATGCTTTTATACATTCAGGTAAATAATGCCAGGCATTTTCATCCGTGTTTAACAACAAGTCAAGACGAGATCAACTGTTTTTCATGAAATTCTCAGCACCGAAGTGAATCGCAACACATGTCTACGGCGAGTATCGGACAATCTGCTATTTATGTGTGTGCGCATGTGGAGCTTTGAGCCATGTAGAATTTAGAAGAAATAAGGCCGCAAATAAAGGGACATGGCTTCTTCAATTTAGCAAACATTTGTAATGCCGACTAAGGGGCACTTCGTTTCTCATAAACTTGGAAATTTTTTTCTATAACCTTGAGAGTTGATGAAAAAAAATCAAGTATTGTTACCCAAACCAGTCTAAAACGTTTTCTCGCTTTTTCATATCTTGAAAGGTTATTTTATTATCTAGGGACACGTGTCACATTCTCGAATGCCTCTTTTTACAGAGTGATAATTCTGGCTCAAACTAAGAAATTACAGTTCATGAGCCCATAAGATTTGATAAAGTTTCAGTGGACAAGCTTGTAGTGCTACACCTCTTTACTTGATCTTTATTTTGCATTGCGCATAACGATGTTATATAAATGTTACAACCGCACATCACGCGCTGCCATAATAAGTATAGTTGATTCGATGACCGCACGGACTGGACATCACCGCGGGGCACGCGCCGCGAGTAGAACGCTTGCCCCAGTATAAATTCGCCATTGTACATGTCGTGCTCTGGCGAAAATTCAGCCGCGCCGCGGTGGTCTAGTTTGAGCAGTCCGTGCGGTCAAATCGGCGATACCTTAGTTGCGCTAAATGATCAACAATTAACAATAATTTCTAGTCGATGGAAATAGGTTTACTCATGTTCAAGTTATCAGCAGGAAAAATCAAAGTAAGCAAAGAGGGATGCTTCTTACCAATGTCCACTTCTTTGCTGTTTTGCTAAAATCTATATTGAATATGTACGGGGCGCTGAGGCCGCATTCGATGCGAAAGTGCTTACACAGCATGAGTTTCATCATCTACGGACAAATCCCAAGCATAGGAAAAATTATTTTGCAGCTGCTCCACTTCAGCAGTCACAATTGTCTCCAGTGCTACTGATGAGGAATCAATGCTACAAAAATTACATCGACTCAATGCACATTTGTGACCTTATCACTATCTCTGTGACTAAGCGTTAATCTCCAAAGTTCTGACGCCAGAATAGGATTATTGAAATTAAAGTGCAATAGTGCAAAGCTCATTACAACACTTTCATGTTTGAGGTGACTGAAATAATAATGCAAATAGATGCATTGTTATTCCAGTCACCAGGTTCTTTATTTCTATACGCTGCAAATTTTCGGAGCCGGAGGATATTGTTGAAATGCTGTTTTCAATTCCTCCGTCTATTTCGACCGCTTTCTAAGCTAATTGTAACGTTAGTTTCTCTATCTCTTTTGTTTGTAGTATTGCGCACCTAACTGATTGAGGTTTCGAGAACAATGTCCAAGCATTCACTAATCATCTTTTCGCATCACATTACATCAACGCGTCTCAGGGCTACTATAGATAAATAGATTTCGCCTAGGAGGCGGGCAAGATAAAGAGAAATTTTTGTAAAAGTCGCTCCAAAAGTCTATTTCTTTCCATTCAAGCAATTCTTTCACCCTGCCTATGAACGTGTTGTACAAAAGAGTACATAGCTAGTGGTTGCAACTTTTGAGTTTTGCATAGTCACTAGCTAGTTCTCTATAAACCCCCTCCCTTTTAGACGCGTTACTACGACGCTCGAAAGAGCAAGACCTCATATATCTCATTCATGAGGTAGAATTAGTGCAAAAAACGCCTGGTAACAAATTTTCAAAAACTTTTGTCCGACAGGAAAGAACTCCAAACAATTTCCATTTTCGATGCACCTAAAGTGCTCTGCCAACTTTGCTATGTATCCAGAGCGGTTGGTAAACAATGCAAAAAGCATACCATAATGTTGGTGAAACATTTCTCGGAACAAGCTACCGACTCCTACACGCGAGATAGCTGAAATAAGAAGACTTCGGCTAGTACTAGAGAAGACAGAAAAATATAAGGATCGCGGATAAATTGTAAGCGGGACATTTTGCTTGTATCACCCATCAAGTGCCGTTCGGTCACAGTATAACATTGTGTCTTTGAAGCATGCTTGGAGTTTCGAATTATAGGTATACTGGGCTAAACCCCTAGTAGAACCATGCAAGCCAAGCAAAATGCCAAGCAATATCAAATGCTAAGACTCAAATTCCTCATGATCGAGCTGCTAATAGCGGCGAAATATAAAGTTAAAAAAATGCATAGCAGATCATGTCAAAAGAGAATAACTAGTTAACTGCAATAGAGTACAAAATTACACAACGTCATCAACTCCACATAACCCGCAGAATATCCATTTTCTTCAGCGATCCCTTCAGTTGAGCCCTGAATTCAAGGCTAAGGAAGATGGTGGTAACTTGTCCAGTACGGAGGCTGCTCGTTAGGAAAATTGTTGCACTGTAGCGAGCTGTTGTGCTTTCCACTAGAAACACTTAGAAGAAGCCGTTCGTTTACTGATAGATCGAAGAAAACATTATCCACCTATAGTTCATTTCTAGTCGATTAGCTCGGAAAATAATATGGTTGTGATAGAGCATTATTCAACGCCAACACTTTGTCTTATCTTGGAGCAACAGTTCGATTTGTTCTGAGGATCTTAGTATAGATGCAACGCAAAAAAATTGGTAAAAATACTATAACCATTTCCAATATTGCAATGCAGCTTACATATGCCTATCAAGCTTGGAATTAGCTTTTTCAATGGTCAGCTATCGAAATTCACTTAAAATCTGAGTATCTCGTACTGCACTATCTGGATTTGGCTGTTCATTGGAGTGATCGTTTCAAAAGTCCAATCCGCATTGAATTCTACCACTTGAAATTACCGAAACTAGATGCGAACGCGCTCAGATAATTTACATGAACTTCCCGAGGGGCAAGCCAATTTGCCAAACTTCCCGAATATTTCATTTAGCATGTGGGTGAATGGAAACTTCCCGTAAACTATGACGTCAAAAGCAACACAGTTACGAACTTCCCGAGGAATTAAATTTGAGACAACCTCTTCGATCGTTACAAGACAAGTGTTAGGCTTAAGGCATACCTCGCGCGATTCCGGTCGCTGCGCGATTTGGCACAACTGCAACTTTCGTAGTTCGTCGTCAATGCGCTGCCTTTGGTCAAAACTTCCTCCATTTGCAGCAACTTATACAAGCTACCCAAATATGCGTCCGAGTAGCGCACACGATAAATTTGTAGAAATCTAACAAATCGCCAAGTCGCGTGAAAGTGGAGACGTGGCCTAATCGCGTGAGGTGTGCCTTAGCCCTTACGAGTTCATTGCATGCCGATCTTCTTGTATGTTGGTCGTGATAGTTAGTCACGATTATTCGTGTTGGAAAACTATCATAAACGAAATGCGAAAAGATCTGCATGCAATGAACTCGTATCACTTATCTTGTAGCGATTGGATCACGACGATCAAATCGCGTGAACTCTACCCGGGGCCTAAGGCGATTTATTCCTATTTATCGCCGTTTAGAGGGTAATTAATCATAGTATTGATAAATATCTACCTATCTGCCGATGTCTCAGTTCACTAATTACCTTTTTGGAAATTGCTCACTAATTAGCGCAAGCTTAGCCTATGGCGTTTAAGCATTATAAGCTTAGCTTATAGTCACATACCAATATTACACCAATATTCCATATATAATGTAGATATACATACAGTCCGCCCCAATCCTAACCAGGCCAAAATCGGCATGGCGGGAGTCCGCGCCGCGAGGGTTTCGCGCCACATCTGCGGCTAGCTAGTCTGCTCTCTCCTCGATCTCTTCACTCTCTGCGACAGCGCGCGTATGCAGCGCAATCCCCTAGCGCTGCGAGCGCGCAAATTCAGCCGACGGTTCGGCCTGATCCCGATTGGGGCAGACTGTATATACTAATGTATACAGAGAGTTAAATAGCAAAATCTCCATTGCCATACCTATTCCAGCGATATTGTCGCGATCCGTTTAGGGATATCATGTCACCAGTTTGAAATCAGCGACGGGGCGATATTGCCAAATTGATTTTTCTTTTGGATGTTTCCGAACCAATTCTTTTTGCTTTCCACTTTTTTTGCCGAGATGTCAACAGGTGATGCAGATTTCCTAGATTGCATTTCTTTCGTGTTGTGATGCGCGTCCCTTGCCATCAGTCGAAATGTAGTATCTAAATATCTGAATATCGGAAAATTACAACGTGTGAAACCGCAGCCACAATATGAGGAAATCTTTGCATCCTGTTTGTAATAAGAAAAGTTGAACGATAGATGACAAGACAAACTAATACGAATTGCTGATGTTGAACGTAATGCCGTCGAAAAAAGACAAATTTTACAAATGTAAAACATCTGAATACTGTTTTTAGATGCCAAAAGACAACGTAGAACGAGTGCTGAGATGTGTATTTTCACCTTATCGCTGAGCAGATAGGTACGTCGAGAACCCTCGACTAGCGATTTGACATCCGCGAATTCGCGTTCTTTTCTTTTCCTTTCTTTCATTTTCTTTTGGCATCTCAGCACTCGTTCTACGTTCTTTTCCCGTTGCTTTGATCATGAATTCGCCGGCGACGGAATCGCGACGATGAAATCGCTGCACGTATGGCCAGGGTTTTGCTTGCAGTGCAGGCACCTATGTAAAGCGGAGAATCTACTCGAGTGTAGGTCTTGAGGTCTCTTCATCTTTCTTTCCATGTTCCTATCATATTTAGCTCGCAGAGATTAAAGTGACTTCTATTGTGAATTTTTGTGAATGTGAATTCAGAATTTTCTAGTCTATTTTCTCATTCATGATGCACCACTACGAGTGTATGAAAAATGAAAAATGAAACGAAAAACGCATATGCTCAGACAAACCACCGGAACTTCCGCAGGATAAGCCAAATTTGCAGAAGTTCCGCAGAACTTTGTTCACTGTGCAAAAACGGAAACGTTAAAAAATGCAACTTCCGCGGGATTTTCATGCCAGACTGGTTAAGAACCGGAACTTCCGCAGGACCTCTTCAAAATTATGCGGAAATCCCGAAAAATGCCAGAGGTTCCGCAGCACTTTGGCCTGCCAGAATTTCCGCAGGACTTTGATATGTTGTAGGATAGTAGGTGAGTCCCACAGTCAATAGAGTAAGGTTCAAAACTTGCTTCGGTGTTCTCTTTGCTGTTGTAGTTCGCAATCTTCGGAACTTCCGCAGCACGATTGCGGAACTTTCGCAGGCGACCCGGCAAAACTTCCGCAAGCGCTCTGCGGAAGTTCCGGTCATTTGTCTGAGTGATTACTATAAGAATTGTATCTCTAACGAAAAGTTAAAGGCACCGTCCACCCGAACTTGAGGTGCTGAGCTTTTGGCAGCATATTGTAGTAGGGCCCCTACCAATTCAATGTCCAAGGCGCAGCGCAAAATGCCGCTTCGGAAGCGAGAAAATCGCTCCGGAATAGCGAAAATGCACGAGGACCTCCATCCATGCCCGCCCTCCCCCATCCATATCCTCCCGTTTGTGCGCGCCCATTCGATCACCGTTCCGGAAGCCGGCCTGTGGGTTCTCCGGAACGGGGAATTTCGGGGTTTTCGAGCATTCTCGACTTCATATTTGAAATCAGGGACATGAGAAGGCCCTGAAACGACGAAAACGTAGAAGTTGAAAATCTGGGTGGACGATGTCCTTAGCTCTTGACTCCGCAAGGGAAAAAATCACCTGTTTGGTTGAACAGTGCACTGCTTTTGCATGTTTTATTGAAATTGATAAATAAACAATGGTTAGAAAACGTCTTTCATGTGCACTCGCTGTCCCAGTGTCTGCATAGCTACACAGCAGATATAGTGAACATAGCATATTTATAGTACTCTATCAATTGGTTCAGATAGAAATTGTTCATATGTACAGTTTGCAATTTGTGATTTGAGCAACAATGAGGAAGCTGAGGCAAAATTTCGACCTAGTTCTGAAAGTTAGAGCCGCAAAGGAGAACTACCCACAATTAGACCAAGTAAACTTATTGGTAATACCAGGAGTGATTGCAGTAATAGTGCATAGGGTAAAATAGTGGATTTGACAGTATTATTGATGCCAATTTCAGCACACTTACCAAAAAATTGTTATTTGTTTTCTTGTAACTACTGGACCAATAATTAAAAGTGCCAGATTGATCCGCGCGCTTCGGGACCGCACTGCGGTTTCCCGCTATCTAATGTTTTTCGAATTGACGTTACGATTCTTTGTATATCAGATTTTTTCAACTCTCATTTGTGAAAAACAAGTAGTTAAATCATTAGTTGTTTTAGACCCAACAATTAGCCATAATGAACAGATCGACAAACCGACTCGCGACAATGAGGTGGGCGGACTTCAATGATACAATATTCCAAAGTTCAAAAAAAAAATTTACACTTTTTTCACCTATCATGCCTCATTTTGCAAAATTCGCGTGATTGTAATCACAGCTGTCATTTAGTATTAGGTTGGCTAAAAAGTAAGTTCGTTTTGACATACAAATTGTCATAAAAAAGTTTCTTGTTGTCTTCAATCTATGATTCTTTGTGCGAAAGTAGATCGAGACTTCCTCTATCACATATCACATAATCAGGATTTTCTATAGTCAGTAAAGACAGTTATGCCTCAACATGGCGTAATTTCCAGAGGCTCAATTCTTTGACTTCTTGAGCTTCGTTTTTAGGCTGTAATGGGTGTAAAGAACAGCAGTTTGGTATTTGGATACAGAGGAGTTATCTCTATTTAGTGAACAACAAAAAGAACTCTGATCTGCCATTTTGAAAATGTTTCACTAAGAAAACCAAATTTCCTCATATTTGCGCATTATGGGAAAATTGCAATTTTTCACTTCTTTGCGGATTTTTTTCCTGGGAAGATAAGTTTTACTCAAACAGAATATATGCTCCAATACCCAGTGAAGTGCTCTTTTCAAAGATACCAAATATTGGACAAAAATTTGTCTACAACATTTGTAAGAGCTGAAAAAGAGACCGAACTTATTTATTAGCCAACCTAATAAAATCGAAATCATTTTTACGCTCATCAGGCAAGAATTTCCAAATATTATGTGGAATAACGTAAATGAAGCCACGTGTAGCTTTCTTTATCTCACGGCAGCTAGCTCTTGGCTTTACTGCTTTAGAATCGGTGAAAATGCCCGACATGTAATTTGTTGCAAAACTTTTCTTCCTTTTAAACTGGAACCTTAGCTTTTTCAGGATGTTCAGGATAAGGAAAACAGAGGCAAAAAGAGATTTGCCTTTTTTGTTTATAAACGACTTCCCAAACACATCATGCTTTCATTTCCAACAACATGCAAACTTCAAATATAGAAACGTTATCATGTGCAAAGAAACAGAAGAAAATATGAAAAAGCTTTGCGGTGCTTCTTGATATATAAATACAGAGAAATCATTTCATAGCGTGTATCAATTTTGCATCATTCCGTTACAACCGTTATATTTTGCTCTGTCGCTGTTCTTTCAGACGCAGTTGAGACGAGCTCCGTTATAACACTAGTCGTAGTGGTGATGGACGTCGCTGTTGTATTCAGAGTACTTACGGAGGCTTCAGTGGGGCTATTTTCGGTGGTAGACATCTCTGTTGTTTTCGGTGTAGTTAAGGCTTCAGTGGAGCTCGGCTCGGTAATAGACACCTCTGTTGTGTTCAGTGTATTCACGGAGGCTTCAGTGGTGCTCGGCTCGGCAATAGACACCTCTGTTGTACTCAGTGTAGTTACGGAGGCTTCAGTAGGGCTCGGCTTTGCAGTAGTAGTTGTTTTCGGTGCGACTGAAGATAGAAAGTATAAAAATCGTGACGACTGAGAGCAGCATTTTGTAACTATATGTTATTTTGAATAGTTCGTTGCATCATTTTCAAAGAATCATAATTTCGTTTTCCCCTCTTTGCAAGGAATTTCCTAAGAAGGACGTAAACCATGAGTTTTCTAAGGCGGTTTGAAAACTTCCATTTTTTTGACTGCAGAGATAGAAATAGAAGAGAAAGATCGTACAAGTAGAAATCCAAATTAGAACATCCTCTCTTTGATTGTGCAAAGATGCTGTGCTGAATGAACTTACCTGTGGAAATCCATAATTTTTGAAGAAAATGTCAAAGATGAATTTTGACGTTTCATATTGTTTTCGAAAGAGTATAATTCTTTTTGGAAAACTTGATCGCTTTTGCTAGTTGCACTTAGTTTGAACGAGAATGTCATGAAATTTGTGCTAATGACTGCATTTTGCAAAGCTTCAGATTTTTGACAAGCTCGCTAAAAAATCAACTTCTGCAGTTTCTGTCCCTGCAACCAGACTATGGTAGCAAGCTCACAAGGCGCTTTTAGAAAGCACACGATTTACTCTTTTAGCAGAATTAATTTTTGCAGAAACATGGAAAAGGCAGAAAGTTACAATTTTTCAAAAATGATATGACATTTCGATTTAACATAATCTTAAGAAAAATCAAGTTTTGCAACTTCTTCCATATCTTTTCTCTTTGCGACCGCTGCGCGTTCAAACTTGCGCTAAATGTAGATACCAATGTGAGCTATAAATGCGTACAAGCTGTTCGATTTTTCTTTACGGCACCAGTAAAAACTCAAACATTTTTGGAAATACACTCAAATTAGGAAATTATGGGATTTGAGCGAAAATAAAGCCGTTGCAGTTAAGACGAAGCATAACGATCAGGAATCGTAAATGAGTTTCGCTAGAATAACTCATATAAATCGAAAAAGAGATGGCTTTAAAGGCAAGTCGAGAAGTGGTGCTTTCATGAAGTTGTGCGAGTCGTTGTACGCTGTAGGGGACAAGATCAATGACTATGGGATCGGAATTTCAGAATTCGACAAGTTTTTGCCTAGTGGGGCTATTAGAGCTATCAAACATGAATACCGTATTTATTGACCTAACAATTTTTCCCATTGATATTAAGACTTCAAACCTTATACCGACCGCAATCTTATATTAGGTCGTAAGGAAAGTTCCCGGGACCCGGGCACTTGCGAAATTTTTTTTTCAAATCGCTGTAGCTACAAGCAGATTGGTTCTTTTTTTTTGAAGCTACAAACTTCATTGCAAAGATAATTTTGTTCACAACATATATTTGTCTTACTGGTTTTTCATGCGCAGAATGGAAAAAGGTCGTCGCGAAAAGTGGCCAAGATTATCGCAGGTACGACGAAAGCTGGAAAGCTCAAATACCGTAGTTATATAGAAGTCTGCTGGGCTGTTATGGAGACTATTTAAGCTTTGAGCGACCACATGCAAAAAAAGTTTTCCCAGAAAGTAAGATCATTTTTTGCCCCCAAAAATGCACCATTTTTCGAGTAAGCGAATTTGATGTCTTGTCGTTCCGCATAGGGTGAACCAAATTTCTGATTAGGAACATTGTTGGAGTAATGCATTACACATCTTTTGTACCCATTATCCAGGCATGGCGATCTCCGCAGAAGCGACGCCAGCTGCGAAAAGAGTTGCAGTCAAAAGCAAGTTTGACAGCTTGTAATTTTTGAGCGCAAATCGCAAAACTCGAGTGCAGCTGGGGACCAGGAGTTAACAGGCTTCCCAAGCGGATCACTCATGATTTGGACGAAATTCTTTGAATTGCATGAAAAATGGCCATAGGATGAGAAATTGTGAAATTTTCATGGTTGGAAGGACTTTTCTTTTTAATGTGCAGATCAAACACGTTTCGGCATCAATAAAAATTAGAAGCCGTGTTAAAAACTTTAGGCTTCCCTCTACTGAACAGCGTTCCGACCGAGCGCCGAAAAAATGCGTTTGAAAATAAAATCTCCAAAAGTGCCGGGAAAGTTTCTCCATAGCCTAAAAGGCACTACCGTAAAACTTCGATATCGTGAACGTGATTGGCACATTGGATACCCCTTCCTCCATGCGTCAAATTCCAGCCAAATCTTACAATTTTTGTAAATATTCCCATAGCTATAGCTACCATAAACTTTATTGTGACGTCAGAATTTCGCAGAAGAGTAGCTAAACTTGTAACTTTACATCATAACTTACGTGACGGATGAAGTAGGATGCATCAATTCCCAAAGGGAGAAAAGTTATAAAAAATTGCAAAATCTAGTTTCGATCCTACAACAAGAGGTCAGAAAATGATGGTGCGTTTTACTTCTTTGCTATGGCTTAGGAAAATAACATTAGCTGAACCCCACTGATGCATCAGTGCTATTCTCCAAAAGAGCAAATCGAGTTCCATAAGCTGGTGTTTATGCTTTCGAGCCAGTTTGATTTGTGAAGTTAGGAAACAAATCTCAGAAGTTCTTAATGCTCAAAAAATCAGAAACCTCCTTTCGAGAAACTTCTACTACCTAGTGTCTCAGGTACACTCTATAATACTACTGACTTTAGACGTTAGTTATAGCATAAACCTTTGTCAGTAAAACTTTAGAGTTTCATTCAACGTTCGAAAACACAGTTTTATTATTCTTAACTAGAAACTGAGCAAACTCTCAAGTTCTCATGCATTTCTTGAACATGCTAGATTGCTAGATCGATTTCACATTAGTAAAAGTTATAGCATAAACCTTTATCAGTAAAACTTCAGAGTTTCATCTTCCTGGGCTCGTTTTCGATGATATCAAATTTAGCTCCATTGTTCTGAGTTTTTATGCTAAAGTAGTCAGAAAAGCAGCTTATAAAAGGCTCAAAAACAGTATTACAAGAACGTCCTATTACTGCTATATAAAAGCCACGAGATCTTTCGATATTGAGTATTAGAACTCTCAGATAGATAGCCCAGATGCGAATTGGACGACCAACAAAACTTTTCAGATTTTGAATTCAAACTTCACTTGGATCAAACTTGGCGCGAAAGCATGAATGCGAGCTTGTAGTGCTTGCTTTAATTTATTGAACAGTACTTTACATATATTCTTAGGTCTCGAATGCGGTGCCATAGCAAGCGAATAAAAAACACCAATATTTTTCTGACATACCTTATTGTGTGTTAGTCTTACGATAAAAATTGAAAGATATCAGTACCCGAAAATTTTCTAAACTGGAGTAATAACATGCGCCTGCGAGTGAGCTTCTTTCAAGCATTAATTTCAGAATATGGTCTACTCTTCTTCTAAGTTAACATGACTTACCAAATTCTTTTATCCTTTCCACTACGCTTTCGCCTTTTCCAACAACGTTCCCTTTGTCTAATTTATACCATTCCTTGATAGTATCGCCATCCTCAATAGCTGAGACAAACAGCATACTTTGTTTCATACCACTAGCATTTAATTCTTTAACAAAATCTTCCATGTCATCGCCACCTGCGCTGGAAATTTAAGAAGGTTCAGGACCGATTCATGAGTAATGTAACGAGAAAAAAGGTTGCTACCTATTGTTGAATCTGCACGGAATGTAGTATATAAGGGAATCACCATCACCACTCTTGTTCAAAAATTCTCTCAAAACCCTGAAAAGTATGCTGAAAGTACACTGCGAAAGTAAGTAGACCCAAATTCTTGGAAAAAGTTCCGCCCTTTGCTAAAACTGCAATATTTAGTAATACCTTTTTTTGGAAGTGATAGTATTCTAATCTACTATTTTAAATCTATCAAGAGTAATCACGAGCAGCTCGTTTTTCACATTGTTATTCAAGGGCTTATAAGATTATGAAAGGATAAATTCGTTCATACTGCTTTCATTTCAAAGGTTCAGGCTTATAAGCTTTGGCAATCCCACCCATTTTTACAACTTTGTTGAAAACATTAGTCCAATGCCACCACCAAACTTAGTAATTTATGAATTACTTAAAATTAGTAATTTTATCTGTACCTACATAAAATCTTTTGAAAGACAAATGGCTAGAAGTGCTCATTGCGTTTCCGCCATGCCAATATAGCGATGGTATAAACATATCAGAAGTCTTACGGTAATTGTTTGAAATTTGTTTGCAGATCTGTCAAATTTTCAACTTCATCCAACTCCTTGAGAGCATCCGACGATTCCATGCGTTTCGATGCGATTGCTTTATCCGTGAAGAAAATAAACCGAAATTGTTGACTTTTTATTTCGTTGATCGCCGCTTTAGTGACATTGACATTCTGAAAAGAGATTAAAATGACTGTCCGATTGGAAACTTCAACTACTTATGTTGTTTGTAAGAAGAGTAGCAACTGATTATCGAGATGGCATATTGCAGTGACTTTCTGGAACTTTCTCTATTTAGGTTCTAAAATTTGTGAATACCTATGCAGGATCCAGTAAGCGCGATGGGATGCATGGCAAATAGTAAGTGATAAAAAAGGAATTGCGCTAATTATACGAAGTGCAGAATTGCTTAACAGCACAAAGTTACCCCTGCACATTGAACATATCAGTTCCGAAGTAAAAATTGTGTCTTTGTCTTGTTAGAGGAGCAGATCGGACTTCGTTAATCAAACTTCAATTTATGGAAAAGACTGCCAGATGGGCATTAACCTTCACAATGACTTCTAAAGGCTGGTCAGGTAAAGAATTAGTAACTACTCTACCGTTGCTGGAGGATAGGAAATTTTGCAGGCTTGGAGGGGCGGAACTTTTATTTCAGGTATCATAGCAGACCTCCATCCTACTCTATTTGATGATTTCAATTAACCTAGTATATTTATTCCAAGATACTGTAGTTTGTTCTTGCCATAAATAGTGCGTCTAAAAATTGAGTGCTGGGTAGTGTTTTGAGGCATCGGCATAAGATCAAGGTTCAATCTTCCAATCCCGCTTACGCAAAATATGCATCTCTGTCTCTGGAGGATAAATCTTTTTGCTTGTGCTTAAGAAAGTTGTTGAAAAGCTCAAGGTGTAGCACATTTTATAAGGAAAATTATAAAAACCCTTTTACTACCAGATCAAACCTTATATCAAAAAAATATCAAAGCACTGAAAATTGCCCAAGCGCTTATAAATAGTAATCATGTATACAAGAAAAATATACAGGGATTGTCGCCTTTAAAAATAGAATATAAAGATTTTCAATGGTTGGGTTAGAAATCAATTATCCGCGCGGTATCGAATCTGAGAAGTATTACAATATTTTAGAAACTTAATCCGACCTTGGCTAAACTGCATTCATCCTCGTTTTCATTTTCGTCAGCTACAAGCCGCACTACATTTGCATCCTTATCGGTGTGCATAGCAAAGAAAACCGCGGGCACATCTTTTTCATCTTTTTTATCTGAAACGGATAGATATTACTTTAAAAAATTATGAAACGGATAGATTTTATTTTAAAAGGTATCTGGAGAAGATAAATTGATACTTACTATCAGATCCATTACCGACAAGATTCACCACTAAAACAAACGCTATACCAACGGCTATATCAATACCTATCAAACCCGTTAGCGCTTTTTTCACGGTTGATTGCATGAAATTGTCTGAAAAAAGTGCTAACAATCTCTCACATAAAAGCTGAAACAGCTGCAATATCTGAGGGCTGTCAAAAACTCAAACAAAGAAGTAATGTAAAACTCAACGAAAGAAAATCAAGACTAATATTTTGCTTCGTCCTGTACATGTCCTTCCTACATGTAGCTGGGGTGATAAGAGGTGCAGCAAAAAGCGTTCGATCAATGCCTACAAAAGACCATGCATTTTCCTATTTTTTGAACTTGTTACTAAACCTGACATGGAGTTTTCTGCATTAATTGTTATGGTTGGTAGGTAATTGGTGATCAAGTGATACAAGACATGGGTGAGCTAACACACTTTGAGTGTACATGGAATTATTTTGAACTCTGGCGCCGATCCAATTTTTCTAGAATCTTCCTTGTTCAGAAGCTGTGCGGGTATGCTGATCACGTGAACACAAATATTACCACGAACTTTTATCGCATGGACTTTCAAACTTATCAGCTTGTTTGGCATGTTCACCTTCGAAAATGATTAAGTTACAACTCATTGAGCACAAATTATTTGAGTGTATATCAATTTATCATGTATTTTTTTAAATTTTCAGGAAAGTACACATGAAACTTGCTAGGTTTTTACTACTTCCTAAATGATGTTCAGTACTTCGCGCTACATCTCTGATGGAAAGCATTCCAAACTTTTTGCTACTGTCTTATCGAAAATGACGTTTAGTGCTGATTCATAACATTGTGATTTGATGTGAATCACGCATAATCAATTTGCTTATCCTTCAGCTGTCAGTATTAACTCTTTAGAGTTTGTAACGAACAAACTAATGCGATTTTCTCACATCTTTGCATACAGCTTAACGCTAAGCTGCAACGCTACATACCACATTGAGGGCTGTAAAATTTACCACAACCATGTTCCTGACGTTTCTACTCTCTCACGTCTAAAGTATCGTAACTCAAGCTCTCAGGATACCGAAAAACTTGCAAATATGGTGGGGACGAAACATCCAATAGGTTTTCGGAACAGAGATTGCTTGTTAAAAATTTCTAAAATGTTCTCGAAAAATTTAAACAACTGACCGGAACATCGCAGAAAGTTTGGAAACATTTGCTGAGTTACCTGCGGAAGTTCCCAAACAAGGTGCTGCGGAAGCTTCGAAGGAATGCGAACCACAACAGCAAAAAAGAACACCTAAGCATGATTCGAACCTTGCTCTTGACTGCGAGGCTCACTTACTATCCTTTGCATTACCGATGACATGTTTGACAATGCACTTTAATTGTTGCCGAAGCGACATAAAGGCAGCACATTTAAAAACCTGCAGAAGTGCTGGCAGATCAGAGTGCTGCGGAACCGCTGGCATTTTTCGGAAATTTCGCAGTGCTTCGTGACAGGTCCTGCAGAAGCTACCGTGTCATCCAGTCTGACGTGGAAGTTCTTCGGAAGTATCCATTTTCAACGTTTCCACTTCGTGATTGTAAACAAAATCTTGCGGAACCGCTGCAAATTTTGGGTGTTCTGGGGATTGTCTGAGAATGTGACGCAAAAACCAAAATCTCCATTAGTCAGAAGTAGTGAAGCAAAGCAATTGTTACCAATGATGGCATTTTTTGACAATTTTTGTGGTGGCTTGAGATCGTAAGATTTGAGTGAGATATTCCAATAATTTTTGTTGTTCAACAGTGCTAGAGAGCCATGATTTCCAATCTATTAGGTTGTGTAATAAGTTCTGTCCCATTTTTTCTTTGGATTTTTTCTCAATATTTTACGCGATGTTCTGCAAACTGTTTATATGCATTTGAAAGCTCTAAGCCTCCCCTACTAAAACTTTAATCCCGGTTTTCTACATCAGAGAAGGTGAAAAAGTTTTACAGCGTCAAATTTGGAAAATCAAACAGAGAAAAAGTCCATTTTCGACAACCACGTTACGTCGCCCTCCTAATTAGTCAGAATGCCTAGGAATAAGCTCGAAGAATTTGCTGCACGTAAGCAAAGAATGCTCTAGCTTCTATTGCACTTCAGAAGTGCTGAAAACTTCTCAAAAATTATTTTTATAGACTTTAGAAAAGTCTTCTTTCTAACGCCTTTTTAACGTTGGTGTTGGGCACCATCTGAAGGCATCCTGAGGGAAGACGGTAGGCGGATCATCCAGAAGAGACAGAAGGGGTGGTTTGTGGGTTCAAAATTGTCGAATTCGTAGGTTAAATACTCAAAGTTCGAATTTTGGGAGCCACACAGCTTGGGTACGCGAGACGGCGAACATCGCCGTGACAAAGTCTTGGCTTGCCGACTTTTGAAAAAAATGTCATTAAATAGCCGGTGGAAGGAAGGGAACGTGCGCAAACAGCAGTAAAATAATGTAAAAGTCTAATAGATTGTTTTGGTTGTTGTCAAACTTGTTTAATAAGTTTTACCAATGAAAATCGAAAAAAATTTGGAGGAAAAAAGATGTCGAAAATTGATTTTTCTTCTCTTTAGATTTTTTGTTTCAATGATAAAAATCTTTTTCAGTTTCCTGCTATGTTGGGGAATAATGCATATGAGCCTGTAGAGCAGACTTAGAGCTTTCAAAAGCATGTACACTTTATCTCAAATGTAGTCAATGTTGTCAAGAAAAAACTAAAACAAAAAATGGGACAGAACTTATTACACGACCTAATACAAATTTCAACGCTGTCAAATGTGACCTAAGCTCGGCAAAGTAGATAGTAAACAAGTTTGCCCTATTATAACGCGTAATGCTTTTCTTTCTCAAGAATTTGCTTGGTTGATAAGAGCTTCCTAAACAGTCCTAGAATTTGGAGAATGTGGTTAATTATTGCTAATTAGTCGCATGTGCAAAATCCGAGGAGTTGATCATTAATTTGATTTGATTAATTCGCGGATCTTTTTCGATTTTGCAAGATTAAGAGAAAGACCAGAGGTTCAGCCACGTGTCATCGAATTTCCCCTGGTATGTTCGTTCAAAGCGTACTTTCTATAATCAATATCAAGTCATAATCACTCAAATTTTTGATAATTGTTCATGCGTCTGCAACTATAAATCGTACATGTAATATGAGATAATTAGGTCGCCAAAAGTTTTTCCTTTTCATTTTCAAAAATTCGCAACTTCTCGCTATCTGGACAGATTTGCTTTGCTATTATTCCGTAGAAAGAAGTAGTCCTCTACTTTGCATCGCTGTCTTCCTCCCATCCCTAATTGCAGAGATAAAAATGGTTGAAGAAGATCATTCAAGATCATTCACCACATCATTTTGAGTGGTCGCCAAAAATCTGAATCGTTGCCGAAAAATCTGTTTCAGTGCATGAGTTTTACGACTTACTTTTTCCAACTGTGAAGAGCAAGTGTCGGTCGGGCGTCTTTATAAAAATTCACAGTCTAAAAAATCTTACTCTTTCATATGGACGTCCGGTGAGCATAAACGTTCCAGAGTCAAAAAGATTGGATCATAAAACTTATGTATTCGCGATCTCGGATTTTTCTGCAACGTTCAAGTTTTTGGAGATTGAAAATGATCGCTATTTGAAGCGTCCACGCAGACGCGACAACGTCTATGCGTCAACAATTGCCATTGCGGATTTCCGCTACTGTTTTCTAGTGTTTTTTGGGTAAGTCGTTGCTGATAAAGGAGGAAAAGTTAATTAGAGAGTAGCTTCTGTCTTCTGAGTGGCATAGGTGCGATAGGGTGAGCCGGGCACCCTCCAAAGTGAAGGGTGTTTCGGCTGTTTTTGACCCTCAAAAATGAAGGGTGTCGGAAATGTTCCGACGTCGACCGGGGGAGGAGGGGGGGGGGTAGATTTCCTTCCAAAAAATTTTTTTAATAATTTTTGTAATCAATATAATTTTGTATATATTAGGTCGTTCCGAAAGTTCTTTCCGTTTTTTCAACCTATCATAAAAACACGAGGAATCAAGGTAGGGAAACGCTTCAAAGACTATCCGACGCAGCTTTCCTTCCCCTTTCTAGCGGTCATATTCATACGTCGCTTGCTTTTATGATCACTGAGATAACCGAAATTTCGAAGCCATGGTTTTTACCATGTACAAATTTAGCAATTTTTCACAATCTTCATTTTTAACTTTCGGAGAAGCTTTGATAGCAATCAGATAGAGTAGACAAAGTGCAATTTAATGCAATTTTTTGGCATCTATAGCTAGCCCCAAAAATTTATTACAATTATTTTTCTGGTGCTATCAAATTCCACTTTTGGTGATGCCAAGAATCATAGAACATAAAACAGCGCACAACTAAGGTGTCAATCGATGCAGCTCTTCCTTCTCTTTCTAATGAATGTATTTTCTTTCCAATTTGCGGGGTCTTTGGCGATAAAATTTCCATAATTCTTGATTTTGAACCCGCCCCAACCTGTACGTAAAATGCGAAACCTTATATTTATGGGCGGTAAACGCTCAGTTGCTTTGTAAAAATTGTGTATAATCGTAACTGACTTTGAAAAGTTTCAAAATCCGTATACTTGCCAGTGTTCGGGGCGTTTCTGTATTTTGGGACTTTGCAAAAGTGAAGACTTTTGGAAAAATTATCACAAAAAATACTGAAAAGCTAGCTGGATTTGCCAAAAAAATGTATTGCATTGCACTTTGTTTATTCTATTTGATTGCTATCAAAGCTTCTCCGAAAGTTGAAAACGAAGACTGTGAAAAATTGCCAAATTTGGACATGGTAAAACCATGTGTTCGAAATTTCGGCGATTATCTCAGTGATCACAAGAGTAAGCGACATGGGAATATGACTGCTAGAAAGACGAAAAAACGCTGCGTCGGATAGTGCCTAAAGCGTTTCCCTAACTTCATTCCACGTGTTTTTATGATAGGTTAGAAAAACGGAAAGAACTTTCGGAACGACCTAATATATTTCCTACTGAGACATAATTTGATTTTTGTATTTTTTTATCTGTGTATATTATATTATAGTAAGGATATATTGTATTTTTAGTTTATTTTTATATAATTTTGTAATTTATAAGTATTGTATATTTCACTTTTTATTTTTTTATTT